TAATGAGGTTTATGATGAATGATTAAATTTCTTTAGTGGTTATGGTCTATGTTTTCTATTATTCTTGAATCATTATTGGTTATTTATATTTTTATTACAAATTTACCATTTCGTCTAGGTTATCAAGTTTGTTGGCACAAAGTTGATTATTCACTTAAAAAATTTCTTCAGTAGTTATATGTACATCTTTTTCATTCTTAATATTGTTTATTTTAATCTCTTCCTTTTCTTGGTTCCTGTCAGTATGGTTTGTTAAAAGAACCAGCTTTTGGTTTTCTTACCCGCCTTAATTGTCTTTGTTTTCTGTTCCATTTGCTCTGTTTCACTCTCTATTTTTGTTTATTCTTTTTCTAGTTCATTAATTTTCAGTTTCTTGTTTTCTAATACATACACTTGAATCCGTAAATTTACTTCTACATACCATTTTAGCTATACTCCTACCTGAATTTTCAAAGAATTGAAGTTGGAGAGTAGGCAACGGGGATAAAAATGAAACAGGTCAATGGTCACTGGTCTTGTTGTCTAAGGTGTTATCCCAGTTCGTTGTCTCACGACCGAAGGAGCGTGGATGCAAAGGGTGAGATGGGAGCTAAAGTTTAATAAGCAAAAGAAGAAAGCTCTGCACAGTGGAGAGGGGAGCCCTAGTGGGTTGCTGTTTTTACAGTTGAATTCAAAAGCTTTTATAAGAAACTCCTCTCATCTCTGTAGCTATTTGAGTAATTTCTCTTATTAGTAAAGCTGTCTGTGCAACTCCCCTTATCTTATGTAGTTGTGGGTATGTCTCTAGGCACGCACAAAGTGCCACTTCTCTTGTTTCTATAACTGGGCTTAATTTAGGTAAGCCCTCCTTCTCCCTGCGCAAGTTCCCATGGAGCCCACCGTGTACATGCCCGAAAAGGTGAGGACACTTTTTCCTGGGAGCCTGCCAATCACACAAAGAACAAAAGGCTTCTGTGCTGGACCCTGCCTGCTTATCTGTGCAGGTGCAGCCTGAGTTTTCCCTAGGCTGCTCTATTTTTGCCTATAGGTGTGATTTTGTAGGCAGGCTGCTTCTCTGAGGACTAGCCTTAGCTGTGTACCTAACATTAACATTAGAGAAATGTCTTAGGTGCTGATGGGTTTGTTAATTATTGCACCCCAGAATTAAGTAGACTTATCTAGTCACAGTAATACTAATGTTTCATTGGAGTCTTCTCCTATAAACTCGTATCAAAGGACAAGAGAAAAGAATATGTGTAGGCTCCCAAGAAAAGTGAGAAAGAGGCTAAATTATTCTGAAATTCAAGATAAGTCACTCCTCTCACCAAAAAGTATGTATTTTTCCTTTCACAGGCAGTGTTTATCTAGGTCTACTAACATGTTTACCGATTTCTTTACTTTGTTGCTGCTTGCATTCAACTTGACTTCCTCTTGAGTTCGGTTTCCTTTCAGCAAAGGCAGGGGTCCCCAGTCCCCAAGCAGCCAACTGGTCAGTGACCTGTTATGAACTGGGCATGGGCACACGGCAGGTGAGCAGAGGGCAGGCAAACATGACCACCTCAGCTCTGCCTCCTCTCAGGTGGCATTAGATTCTCATAGGAATGTGAACCCTATTGTGAACTGCGCATGCAAGGGATCTAAATTTCATGCTCCTTACGAGAATCTAGTGCCAGATGATCTGAGGTGGAACAGTTTCATTCCGTACATCTTCCCCCAATTTGCGGAAAAACTGTCTTCCATGAAACTGGTCCCTCATACCGAAAAGTTTGGGGACTGCTAAGCAAAGATTTCTGAATGGTGAACTATTTTGTTTGTGTGAAAATATTATTGTCATGGAACTGTTTAATAACTTAGCTGACTAGAAATTTTGACAGTATTTTCCAATCTTTTGTCATCCATTATTGAGTATAATGTTCCTTTTTTTGTCTTTTCTTTGACACTTTGCAATTTTATTATGTCTTTAATTGTAGATTTTTTATTTATTCACTCAGAGTTTTTTGTTAACCTGAAGACAAATGGGTTCTTGAGATTCTGGAAAAGTATCAGGCATTATTCTTTTGTTGTCTCTCATACCCTTTTTCAGTTTCTTCTGGATCTCTTATTAGAATATGTAAAACGTATTCAAACCACTATGACCTTTAGACTCTCCTTTGTCATGTTTTTAATTTCAAACACTGTACTTAGAATTTCTAGATGTTTTTTCAAACTTGCCTGTCCTTTCACACTGTACTATTTTTATTAAAAAATGAATCTAATTATTTAAAAACTCTATTAATCATTTTAAACATTCTATAGTTTCTTTTAGAGTGTTTCATCACATTTTTAGTTCTTGGGGTGCTAATTCTGTTTGTCATGTCTACCACCTTTGCCACACAATGCTTTCTCAGATGACTCATCAGTTCATCTTCATTGAAGGCTAGTTTTTCTGTAGGATTTTTCGTGGCCTATGTTGTAGAAGTGTTTCAGAGAGGTTTTGTATTTGTTTTTGCCAATGCCCCAAGGGCTTCACTGGTCCTATAACAGTTTTAATGGTTTGGCTTGGAGTTCCTGTAGTATATAGTTTAAATATACATATGTGTTCCATACTTGGTTGTGGCACAAGCTTGTGGGGTTTTGATTTCTCACAGGTGGCTTTTTAATTTTTAAAATTGTTAACCCCCAAACCAGAGACATCACAGGTGGGTTCTTCTTTCCCTATTCACTGTTGGGGTAGTTGGCAATTCTTTTCCACTATGATTTGTTGCCTATTTTTCTAGCGTCTCTTCTTAAATAAAACACTCTTTTTAAGATTGTAGCTTTTTTTTCTTTAAACAGTCTTGCTCTGTGGCCAAAGCTGTGGATCAGTGGCATGATCTTGGCTCACTGCAGCATCAGCCCCTTGGGCTCAAGTGATCCTCCCACCTCACTCTCCTGAGTAGCTGGGACTACAGGCATGTGCCAGCATACTTGGCTAATATATATACACACACACACACATATACATAACATATATATACACACACATATACATATTTTATATATATATATATTTTTTTTTCAGAGACAGGGGTCTTGGTATGTTGCCCAGGCTGGTCTTGAATTCCTGGCCTCAAACCAGCCGCCTGCCTCGCATCCCGTGCCTGGACCCAAGTTTGTAGCTTCACTGGACAGTTTGTGTGGTTGGTAGGCATGGTATGTTTCAGTTTCAACCGCCTACTCTACCAGGTCCCCAATTCCTTAACTCCTATCTACACATGTGGGTGTCAAAATCACCCTTAGTGTCTATTTGTTTCTGAAATCTGTGGGCTGCTACAATGTTAGCTCCCAGTTACCCTCCTGTCCTTGAGTATCTTATTTCTGACATCTCTTGATATGCTAGTTCCCTATTTAAAACAATACAAAACAAAACCAAATCTTTTTGGATATATTTTATCCAGCATGTTCTTGGTGGGGGAGGGGCATCTGTGTCAGCACAATCTACCATATATAAAGTGAGAAAAGAGCAAAGGACTGGCCCCTGGAGAATACTAACATTTAAGAAGTGGTGGAAGAAAAGGAGCCCTTCTGAATCTACATTTCGATCTATCAGCTAATGAGGAATTAAGGTATCAATTTCTTACTTGTGTAGCATAATGTTTATATATGAACAAAGGAACTGTTACAGAAAATTTAATGTGAGGGTGCCAGAGTTCTAAGTTTTACTAGAAAGCATGAATCTAGAGTAGGAATATAAAATAGCAAAAATCTCTTCAGGGGCTTTTGGCCTCTTACTACCCAGACAATGTGTTATTTTCATTCCCCCCTCCACTTTCTCTAGCATAATGAGAAAACAATGTAAAATTCATCAAAATAAATGTAGTTTCAGTAAGTATAAATGACTATCAACTTAAAAGGTCATCTTGTTTTATGGAGGGTGTATTTTAATAAATTAAGAGAATGAAGCTCTGAGTATGGAATTTTAGGTATTATTTGGGGAGATAGTTTTAGGGCAGGAAATTAAAAATCCTATCTAATAAGATACTGTAAAAGATGCAGTACTCCAGCTCTCTTCTACAGAAAAAAAAAAGATGCAGCACTAGTCATTTAAGATAAAAACTGTACATATTTTAAATATATTTTTATTCATTTTCCAATGTTGATTTTAAAAAATAATTTCCTTATATAATCACGTTATGATTTTGCTCATTATAAACTCTCTCTCATTAATAACAGTTTAATGTAGTTTATACAGTTTTAGCTCTGTCCAGGCTACTAAGTAATATTTTTACTTTTTGTTCTAACTATACATCTTTTAGGCTTCAAAGAATAGCAATTTGTCTAGCAATTTAGCGATTAAATTCCTCTTTGCCCTCTATCCATGCCAATTCAGGGTTTCGAGCCTTTTTTCCTCTATGCATGCCTCTCTACAAATTGAAAACTTTTATATTATCTTACTCTTTATATGGGAAACTATTCCTCATATTTGGTTATTTTAACCATCTTTCTTTGAACCATTTGATAGTGTAGAAGGAAAGGAAACTATTTTCTATTTTGTTCCTATAACTCCGTTATGTTGACCACTGCAAGAAATGATGTTTAGAGTTTGATGTTTTTCCTCTTAAGTGATAACACCAATATATTTAAAAGTGTGGTCTGTATTATTGTCCTTGAAATACACTGTCCCTGTGCACGATGAAGTTCACCCACCCCATTTTGCCCATTCACAGCCTCACAAAATCTGTCTATAGTTTATCCCCACTAGCTTAACATCCCTTTACTCATTAGAACATAAAAAACTTGGGGATTTCAAACATACTGTATTCTACAACAGCTCTGAAAAACAAGACAAACTCCCGTACAAAACCTTGGAATGCTGTTTATATCTATCCATTGAGAAATACCTTTCTCTTTAGTTAAGCCAGTTCTGACAAAAATTTTGCTATACTCTGCTTACTAATAAAGTCAGAGTCAGGGAAAAAAAGATTTTAACAGTTTTAAACTTCCTTTATTGTCAACAAAATATACAAACTAATTTTCAAGAGGATATTTTTTGTTCTAAGATATATTCACACTAGCAAGATTTTATTTTAAAGATAAACATTAGCAGATAAGCCATTTTTATTTTCCAGTTTCAGTTTTATAATGTCACTAAAGTCATTATCAAATTTTAAATGATCACATCTATAATCAAAGGCTGATACTATAAATATTGTACACAGTAATAACAGCTGTCTTAGAAGAGATATAGAACAAAGCTTACTTGTGCCTAGAGATACGATGACATCTATTGATAAGCTTTTAAGAAATATGTCATACCATATGACTTTAAAAGATGGGAAAACAGGTATACTAAATGAATAGCAATTTAAAAGAAGATACTTTCATTTCTTAGATTTCAGCATTATACGTTTTAATTTTTAATCATAAAAAGAATTTTAAACTAACAAAATATACTACCTATAATAAATGAAATATCACACTAAAATGTGTTTGAGTCTAAGTGGGAAGAAAATCCACATTTATCTGATTTTTAGTATTTAAATCCTTGAAAAAATATATGCTTTATTGCAAAACTAACACTTTAACAAAATACAGACAATAACAACACACTATCAAAATGTATGCAAATGGCAGCTATGTAATTTGTATGTTAAACAAGTTAAATCCATGTATTTCTTAATTTACTCTCCCAATTACCTACCACCAATATCGATATGAAAGAATTCTTTAATTTTATCATATAATACCAACACCAAAGCACCCCCTGTACCACGAAGAACATTGGAGAAAGCGCCACGAAAAAAGGAATTGATTCCCTCATGTTGGTATATCTTCACAAAGCAGTCTAAGGTTCCTTTATATTGCCGTTTAGCCTCACCACTCTATATAAAGAAAGACAAAGGGTTTTCCATTATCTGAATATCTTTTATCTTAAGATAGTCTTCTATTAGCACTAAGGATAGATAAGATAAATACTGTGTTGAGTAGCACTGTGTTAATAGGCATATATGACTACTGTCCCTAGTGGTTAGAGAACATTCATACTTTTCAGGCACACTTGAAAACTGACCATACATTAGGTGTAACAAACGTCAAAGGATGTCATCACATAGACCACGATTTATCCTCTCACTACACTGCAATCACTACACTGCAATCAACTGAGAAATCAATAGCAAAATAGAAAAATGCCATATGGGCTACACATGGTGGCTCATGCCTGTAATCTCAGCACTTTGGGAGGCTGAGGCAGGAAGATCGCTTGAGCCCAAGAGTTTGAGACCACCCTGGGCAATATGGGGGCAAAATGCCATCTCAACAAAAAATACAAAAAATTAGCTGGGTGTGCTGGCACATGCCTGTGGTCCCAGCTACCCGGGAGGCTGAAGTGGGAGGATCACCTGAGCCTGGGAAGTCAAGGTTGCAGTGAGCCATGATCACATCATTGCACTCTGGCCTGGGCGACAGGGTAAGACCCTGTCTCAAAAAAAAAAAAAAAAAAAAGGAGGAACAGAGGAGGAAGAACCCTGTGAACACACAGGAAGAAGATAGCCATTTATAAGACAAGGAGAGAGGTCTTCAGAGGAAACCAAGTCTGCTGACATGTTGATCTCAGACTTGTAGCCTTCAGAACTGTGAGAAAATAAATTTGTTGTTTAAGCAAAACACTTTTGTGGATGATACTAGCCCTAGCAAACTAATACACACACACAGATATATAAGACATCATATTCCCACTTTTTTTTCTCTGTACTATTGTGAGATTAGGTTGCAGACATCATGCCCTTTATCCTTAAACACTCAAGTGCATGTTTTCTTTTTTTTTCTTTTTTTTTTTTGAGACAGAGTCTCGCTCTGTTGCCTAGCCTGGAGTGCAGTGGTGCCATCTCAGCTCACTGCAAGCTCTGCCTCCTGGTTCACACCATTCTCCTGCCTCAGCCTCCAGAGTGGCTGGGACTACAGGCACCTGCCACCACGCCCAGCTAATTTTTTGCATTTTTAATAGAAGACACGGTTTCACCATGTTAGCCAGGATGGTCTCAATCTCCTGACCTCATGATCCGCCCGCCTCAGCCTCCCAAAGTGTTGGGATTACAGGCGTGAGTGCATATTTTCTAAATATTAGGCTCGAGTGCGTATTTTCTAAATATTAGGATATTTTCTTATATATCCAAAGTACAGTTATCAAATTCAGGAAATTTAATACCATTGACCCAATCCATAGTCTACATGCATATTAATTTTCCATTTTAAAAAGTTTCTCAATGTGCTAAATTAGAACTAACTATAGAAAGAGAAGAAACACAGACATAAATGGAATAACTAAGTATTATCCTGAAATGAAGTAACAGGTTAGTTTTATCCTGCCAGATTGCTTACTGGTCCTTCCAGGACCATTCTGTAGTCCATAAAAATGAGGATAATGATAGTAACTACACTTCAGTGTTTTGAGATTTAATGAGTAAAAGTATAGAATTCTTAGGACAGTATAAAGCATATAATAAGCACAATATTACAATTCTAGTTTTCTGACCTCATTATTTTCACTTGCCCTCATAAAACTTATGACCTGGCTATACTGAACTACTTCTCAAGCCATATTTCTGTGTACGATTTTCCCCCTATGCTTAGAATGTTCTCTCACTGACTGAAGTAAGCCTACTCACTGAGATTTAGCTCTCTAAGAGACCACGTCTGATCATTTTAAGCGCCTGGGCAACCCTCCTCTATGTATTCCTGGAACCTACACACATTTGTATTTAAACCATTAACTGTTGTCTTCAATATTAGACTATGAATTTGGGTGCAGATTTTGTCTTTTTCTTTCACCAGAGCGTAGCATAGATAAAGCATGCAAATATTTGCTGAATGAATGAATGCAATAAGTACAGGTTGGTATCCCTTATTTGAAATGTTTGGAACTAGAAGTTTTTTGAATTTTTTCAGATTTTGAAATATTTGCTTTGTATACTTACCAGCTGAGCATCTGAAATCCGAAAAGCTCCAATGGGCATTTCCCTTGAGCATCATGTTGGTGCTCAAAACATTTTGAATTTTGGGGTGTTCTGGATTTAGGATTTTCAGATTTGGGATGGTCAACTGGTAATAACAATAGAGATCAAATTCATCAAAAATTTGGTTTAGGGATTTATATTTAGAACATAAACCATTACAAACAAGTTTTTGTCCTTGGAGTCAAAATTATTTACTTTCTTAAAAATATATTACAATAAACAATGAAATATTTCAGTGGCTCATGACTAGGCTCATTCTACTTAATATAATATTTCAGTTAAGATAGACATACTTGGCCAGGCACGGTGGCTCAAGCCTGTAATCCCAGCACTTTGGGAGGCTGAGACGGGCGGATCACTAGGTCAGGAGATCAAGACCATACTGGCTAACACGGTGAAACCCCATCTCTACTAAAAAACACAAAAAACTAGCCGGGTGAGGTGGCGGGTGCCTGTAGTCCCAGCTACTCGGGAGGCTGAGGCAGGAGAATGGCGTAAACCCAGAGGCGGAGCTTGCAGTGAGCTGATATCTGGCCACCGCACTCCAGTCTGGGCAACAGAGTCAGACTCCGTCTCAAAAAAAAAAAAAAAAAAAAAAAGATAGACATACTCATCCAATTTCTGCCATAACCCTCTACCTTCCAAGCAATATATGCTACAGGAATAGTAGGCATTTCTGTTTTGATGGTAGGTGAGGAAGAAGCTTTGCTGGCTGATGGTTATTTTAGGATAGGAAAGAATATAAGACAGAATACATCATGTATTTATTTTAGCTAAGTAAAACAAATGATCTATGCCTTTCAGCCAAAATTTCTCTTAAATTTGACTATACCCAAATATCAGAGATATTAAAAACTCAACTAAGCTTAGAAACAATAACATAAAATACCTGCATCATCATACGTCTTCTAACTGTGTCAAAGGGATAAGACAGTATTCCAGAGCATGTAGTCACAACTTGAGCAATGAAAAAGGAGACAAGAAATGGAGTTTTCTTTGGCTTTGGTAATAAACCCTAGAAAAGAAAAATGTACCAAGTAACTATCCAAATTTCTAAAATATCTTAAATTCGTAAGTTAAAGGATAATTTTTATAAATATATGAAAGAGGGTCCAATTATACTTAAAATGCAATAAAAAAGCTGGATTTAATAGTAGCAGATCAACAAAAAGTGGATTGCCACACATGACTATATTTCAAAAGTATATTTCAAAAATATAAAGCATATTTGCCATGATAAGAATTTGTTACTAATGCACATAAAACTAGGGAAGATAGCAGACATTGACAAGAAAGAAGTTCTTCCATGGCTCTTCCTTGTGGGGTTGAAAAAAAGTGAAAAAAATGCTTGCTTTAATCATCAACACGTATTTGATGAGCAGCTTTAAAACCTTAAGCTAGTGGAAAAACGTTCCTAAATTTCACTACTGCAGGTGATAACAAAGAAAACTAAAGACAGAGTATGCACATAACATTTTTTTGTGATTAAATAAATGTATGAGATCCTGTAATTTTCATTAACATAGCAGTCTAAAAAATACACTAAAAACTGATCTGTCCAGATTTCATTACTTCCTTTTGGAAGCATTATAATGTAGGCATCAAGAACATGGGTTTTTTTGCTTGCCTTTAACAAGTAAATTACTTACCATTCCTAGGCTATTTACTTAGCAATTCCTAGGCTATTTATCTTTAAACAAAGGGGGGATTTTATTTTTTTATTATTTATTTTAAACAACTAGAAATATCTTTATTTTCTTTTTTTTTAATTTCAATAGGTTTTTGGGGAACAGGTAGTGTTTTGGTTACATGGGTAAGTTCTTTACTGGTGATTTCTGAGATTTAAGATGTAAAGTACTTAAAAAAGATTCCTAGAACTAAGTAATAGCTAAAAATTGGTAGCCATTATTACAATTTTTCTTTTTCCTACCACATGGAAGTGTTCTTAAAATCTGAAATGAAAAGGTAAATTTCAGAACAACCTGGAGAATACAACACAGAATCTAACAGTATCCAGGAGATAACCAAGCTACAGTAGCATTTATTTAATTAATTTGCTTTGCCTACTTCTCAAAATGACAACATTTGATTATTTGCATATAAAAAGTGATAATAGGGTTAATATGAAATCAGAAAAACTGCTAGAAGATGCCTTTCCATATACCAATGATTTGATTATGATGTAAGCTTAATTAGCATGTTTTTCATTTGCAATGTGATGTATAGTGAAAACATCTCAAAAACTTAGATACATGCTTTATAACTAAAGTCAGATCCACACTGCAGTTATAATTTAATTAGGTTATGGTAAAATCATGATTAAGCAGAATTTCATGTCTCTCTTTATTTCATCACTGATTTTTATTTTTATAATTAAAAGTAACATATCTGCTGAAAACATTACTAATTAAATAAATGGAAACCATATATGTAATATGTCCAAGTTAAAGCCCCCAGATTACCTTAACTGTGTCATAAGCTCCAAAATAAGAGGCTCGGTACACAATGATGCCCTGTACTGAAACACCAAACCCTTGGTATAAACCAGCAATTCCATCTGATTTTGCTATTTTCATAATACAGTCACCTAAACCCTTGAATTGTCGCTCTTCAGGACCTAAAATAAAGCCATTTAAAATTTATTAGCAACATTATATATCCAATAAACACTTTAATCAAAATAAACCTTCACGGATCTAAATGGTCTGAAATTCCCACTTACAAATCTAACAAAGAAGACACAAATCAAAATCCTCCCATTCTTTTACAGATAATCAAGATTTCAAGTAATATTTCAAAAGAAATTATGGAAAATATTAATCTCTCATGAAAACAATTTACTTCAAACAACTTGCCTTAAAGCATTTTATTAAAGTTACCAGAAGTTACTAATTGAAGTTCAGAAAATAATTTGAAATGGGCCAGGTGAGATGGTTCATGCCTGTAATTCCAGCACTTTGGGAGGCCGAGGCAGAAGGACTGCTTGAGGCCAGGAGTTCAAGACCAGCCTGGGCAACATAGTGAGACCCTGCCACTACAAAAAATAAAAAAATGTTAGCCAGGAGGCTGAGTTAGGTGATCACTTGAGACTAGGAGTTGGAGGTTTCACTGAGCTATGATTGTATTCCAGCCTAGGCAACAGAGTAAGACCCTGTCTCTACTAAAACAAAACAAAACAAAACAAAACAAACAAACACTTAGAAATGAAAAACTTGACAGGGCACTGTGGCTCACATCTGTAATCCCAGCACTCTGGGAGGCCGAGGTGGGTAGATCATGAGGTCAGGAGTTCAAGACCAGCCTGGCCAAGATGGTGAAACCCTGTCTCAACTAAAAATACAAAAATTAGCCGGGTGTGGTGGTGGGTGCCTGTAATCCCTACCCAGAGGCTGAGGCAGGAGAACTGCCTGAACCTGGGAGGCAGAGGCTGTAGTGAGCTGAGATCATGCCACTGTACTCCAGCCTGGGTGACAGAACGAGACCCTGTCTCAAAAAAAAAAAAAAAAAAAAAAAAAAGAAATGAAAAACTCTGGGACTGTTGAAAAGCAAAAAGATAAAGCTAAAAACTTGTAAGGATAGTTTAAGATAGTTAACATTTCACATGAAGGGGTCATATTTTTCTAGTATTTTCTGGTTTTATTTTTCTTTTCCCTTGACCAAGAATTCCTTGACAATATTTTAAAACTATTATACACGTACAATGTAATCTTCTAAAAATAAACTAAATCCTCCTGATTTGAAAGAGAAAATAAAACTATGGGACTTAAAGCAAGATAATATTGATTTATTTTACCTTTATTAATAAAAATAAAATTTCAACTTCCAGTTAAATAGATGAAACTCACATTTTTATTTTTGTTCAAACTGCCACCCCTTCTGAGACATTTTCTGATGACTTATTGAAAATTGGTATCACTCTCTTCTAACTTTTTTCCCTAGCATTTATCATTAAGTGACAATATATTTTAGTCATTTATTCATTTATTATTACTTGTATCCTCCACTAGACTCTTAGGTACACGAGGCGTGAGCTCTATGTCTTATATGGGGGGTGCGGTGTGAATATGTGTGCATATATATACATACACACACTCACACACACCCTGTATCTGCAGGCACCCTGTAATCCAGAAGGCACTCAATATTTGTTGAATGAATCTCTGTACCCTGAAGAAACTCGATTACATTAACAATAATGAAATAAAACAGGTTTAAAGCCAGATAGGCCAAGAAGAGAACATGACAGAACGAAATCCACAAAATTTTGCCAGATGGAGAGAATAGGGAGGAGTGGTAATTCACCAAATAGAGCAGAAAAACCTGAACCTATTTTCTTACAGAGGAAGATATTGTTGGGAAGCAAGCCATTTGATCACAATAACCTCAGAAAGACTTAGAAATCAGAGGAACTAACTACTACTTCCAGGATGAAAGCAAAGGAGCAGGGAGATGCTCAATATCCACAACCTCACCCTGAGCAGCCAAATGACTTACTGTGCTGCCACCCACAGAACTGAACACAAGGTTCCAGATTTAACTGGGCCAGTTGTGCGATCTCTGCAAACACTCAAACACTGCAAAAAGACTCACATAGAGATATTTTACTGTGAAATATAAGATCATCAGGGATAGAAAGAAACTAAAAAGAAAAAACATATACTAAAGGATCCAGGGTAAGCAAATTGGTATCTTAAGAGCAACATCAGAAACTAGAAGTCAGGGTAATTTTTCATAATTGTGAAGGAAAATAATTTTAAACTCAGACTTTTATATATGTCTTACCCTTTTTGAGAGGGTAAGACAAATACTTTTTTTTTAGATATGTAAGAGATTATTTTATTTTTTTCACTCTTTCTCAAAAAGTTACCAAATAACGTACTCTTCCAAAAAAGAAAAAAAGGGTGTAATAACAAAGAAGGGAAGATGTGATATTTAAGTAAGGATAGAGGCAAAGGGACTCCCTAGGATGAGACTTGTGTATCTATCCTAGAAAGGAGCCATAGCTGAGACAGGACTAACTGCATGGAAAAAAATCTAGGAAGGGTTTTCTAGGAAGAAAAATGGGACTAAGTTATAAGCAGTTTTTAACACTCACTTTTTTGTTACAACAGGCTTTCCCTCCTTCCCTTTTTTAAGGGAAAAGCAGCAAGTAATATACTTTAGGCCCTATGCCTCTACCATTTGGTTGAGAATAAAGTTTGTAGACTTTATCTGGTAACACTATCATAGCACAATTAATGATAATAAATAACACATGGTTCCAAATGCAAAGAAGGGAAAAGTTAGTATTTCTAAAAATCTCATACCTTTTCCAATATCGACACCTAATCGGGTTCGGGCAAAATCTAGAGGATATACTACACATAAGGATGTTGCTCCAGCAGCTCCACCAGAAGCCAGGTTTGCCAAAAACCACCTCCAGAACTGAAACATATTAATTTAAAGGTGATTATTAAACCACAGAATCTAACTGTTTTAAGATACCTGGTAAATTCTTGTTTTTATAAATGTTAAAACAACAGATTTATAAGCTACTTTTATAAAGTAAACAGCTATAATAATGCATACCATGCTATCCAAAATATTTTCTCTTCACAGCCACGTAGCCTTTGTTTCATGCAGTCTGGAAGACACAGTTTAGATGCTGACATACTGAAATTCCAGGATATTTTAATGTTCTCCAGCAAAGCAGCCCAAATTAGCAAAATAGGTCGCATAATCAACTCTTTACATGCATACTCTTTTTTATTAATAGCTACATACATTCTTAATAATAGTGCTTGCTATGATTATAATATCAGGCACATATGGAGGCTTTAGTTGTGCCCTTTTACTGGGAAGGGTACAGTAAGTAGTAGTATGGCAAAAAAACTGCAGTTACTTTTTGCACCAACCTAAAATACTTCATAATGCCCCAGCTTCACTTTGTAATTTAAATAGAATTAAATTTGAATAGCTCAAAAATATATATTTATGTTCAAATGACAACATGGAAATTGGCAGACATCAATCATAACGTAGTTGTATGGAATTTAAGTTGGCCTCACTGGTCTACTAGTTCACATGAGCTATTGAAGAAGTATAATTATTTTTGATCTACATTTAAAATGTGCCCTCCCCAGGCTCAGTAAGATGCTTTTCAACATCTAGTGCTTATGGGAGAAGAAAGGAGTATCCGAATTGGAGCTGTTATGAAAAATCCAGGATATGAGGACACTGCAAGCATTAAATACATTAAAGTGAATAATATTCTAGTCACGCTCAATTTCTTGTTTTATTTTCTGGCTTTTATTTCTAACAATAAAGTGTCAGACAGCTTTGCAATTCTCAGTGTTCTCTAGTCCTGGAATGCCCTTCCTTTTTTAAACAAAAAAATAGTTACTGCTTCATGCTCTAATTCAAGTTCCACTTCTCTCATGAAATATCTGATCTCCAACCCATCTATTGAAACTGTATATGATCATATCTTTTTCCCATAAATACTTCATCTCTGTCAGAGAATTCAAGTTGAATCCCATGACCAATACGTAAAACGTATTAACATGTTATAGACTCTTATTTTTTTTGAGACGGAGTCTTGCTCTGTTGCCCAGGCTGGAGTACAGTGGGGCAATCTTGGCTCACTGCAGAGACTCTTATTTTTTAAATAGCACTTACAACCATTTTCTACTTTCAATTTATAATTATTTGTGTACATTTATACTCCTACAGACTATAAATTTCCTTTTTTTCTTTTTTTTTTTGAGACAGACTCTTGCTGTGTCACCCAGGCTGGAGTGCAGTGGCGCGATCTCGGCTCACTGCAAGCTCCGCCTCCGGGGTTCACACCATTCTTCTGCCTCAGCCTCCTGAGTAGCTGAGATTACAGGTGCCCGCCACCACACTCGACTAATTTTTTATATATATATTTTTAGTAGAGACGGGGTTTCACCGTGTTAGCCAGGATGGTCTCCATCTCCTGACTTCGTGATCTGCCCACCTAGGCTTCCCAAAGTGCTGGGATAACATGTGTGAGCCACCACGCCCAGCCCAGACTATAAATTTCTTGAGGTCAGCATTATTTTCTCTTAACAGCTATACTAAGTATAATTCACATATCATAAAATTCACCTATGTAAAGCATACAATTCAATCGTTACTATATTCACAGAGTTGTGCAACCATCACCACAGTTTAGAATATTTTCATCCCACCAAAAAGAAACCCCAGGCCTGTTACAAGTCACTCCACATCCTCCCTACCTCCCTCAGTCCTAGGCAACCATTAAATTACTTTTTGTCTCTAATTATTTGCTTACTTGGACATTTCATATAAATGGAATCACACAAGACACACTCTTTTGTGACTGGTTTCCTTCATTTAGCATAATGTTTTCAAGGTTCATCCATGTAGCAGTATATATTAATACTTCATTCCTTTTTATTGCCAAATAATATTCTATTTTAGGAACATTATCTACTCATCAGTAGGCAATAATGAGAAAACAGAGCAAACATACACATGAAAAGCAGGTAGAGAGAAAGACCAGGTGACTTGGGAGAGAAAGATGAGAGTATAGTTTGGTCCATAGAAGTGCCTGTAGTTGAAATTCAAGTGCCACTGTATCATTACAATAAATCCTCTTTTTCCTGAGGTAATCTGAGTCAATCTCTGCTTCTGAAAACCAAGCACGTCAACCAAACAAGATATGTGGCATAAAGATTTATAAAGTAGACCTTAAGTTCTACTTAATCTTTTTTTCTTTCTTGATAAGAAAGAAGGCAGATCAATGATTTTTGGGGTGGATAATCGTGTACTTTATCATTCAAACCAGGACATTTCCGATAGAGAAAGTGGGAGCTATGAAAAAACGACAGGGGCAGGCACAACATGTATAAACAGTATGGCCAATCTATGTAGTGATGGTAAGAAGGATAGAAATAGAGGGAGAAAGGCAGTAAGAATCTGCCCATGCTGAGTGATGATCCTGCATTTATGTAACAAAACCTGTCCCTCCACAAGTAAGATTGAAAATAAAACAGACCCATAAGAGGTAGTATGTATATAAGTATAAATGAGTTTTGGTTGTCGTAAGTTAGTAATTTAAAGTATTACTATATTGGTGTTTTTTTTTCTTTCCCTCAGGCTGGAGTGTAGTGGTGTAATCTGCGCACACTGCAAGCTCTGCCTCCCGGGTTCACGCCACTCTCCTGCCTCAGCCTCCCGAGTAGCTGGGACTACAGGCACCCGTCACCATGCCTGGCTAATTTTTTGTATTTTTAGTAGAGACGGGGTTTCACCGTGTTAACCAGGATGGTCTTGATCTCCTGACCTTGTGATCTGCCCTCCTCGGCCTCCCAAAGTGCTGGGATTAAAGGTGTGAGCCACCACGGCCAGCATACTATATTGCTAAAAGAAGAGGCACAGAGAAGAATCAGGAAGGGAGAAGAAGATGAAAGTCTGAGAGTTCTGAGGAAAAATAATCCTATTTATTTTTAATTGTTGACACATACTGTGTGAAAAGACTCAATGATGCATCAAACAACAAATGCCCTGAGACCAAAGTTGTTTAAAACAACTTGTCTGGACAGGGAAGAGAGCTGGGAACAGCTCTAGTCTTCCCCATTGAGGGTTGTGCTGAAAGCTGCTAATGGGTGGCTGAGGAGCAGTTTATGCCCAGGCCCAGCTGAGGCTCATCCATTCTAGTCGCCTCAGGTGAATTTAGGAGTTAGATTGGAACAAACTAGCAGAGCAAATGCTTTAAGCTCTGAGTCCTACTCTCCTTATCTGTACCTTTTGCGTAAAAATAACTACCTCAAAGAGTGAAGTGAAAATTCAGTGAAACAATACATAGTAGGCACATGCTTCTCTTACCATTTTTAAAAAAACTTTTTATTTTGAGATAATTTTGGATTCACATGTATCATAAGGAGTAATATACAAAGAGACTATAAATCATTCAACGAATTATCCCCAGTGTACCAGCATATCTGTAGTACAAGAAATGGACATGATAAGGCCTACCCTATTCAGATTTTGTCAGTTTAACATGTACTTAGTTGTGTGTTTATTCAGTTATACACAGTTTTGTCACATGTTCAAATTGGTCAACAGTTCCACGAGAAGGATCCCTCATGCCACTCTTAAAATCACAGCCACTTTTCTCCCCCCTGGCAAACAGTATTCTTTTTTCCATCACTATAATTTCATCATTTCAAGAATGTTATATAAAAGCAATCAGACAGCATATAACCTTTGAGATTGGATTTTTCTACCTTAAAACCCAAAGTTGGTGCACATATCAAAAGTTTGTTCCTTTTTTGTATACTGATAAAATATATACAAGATTTACCATTTTAACTATTTTAAGTATACAATTCAATGGCATTAAGTATGTCTGCAATGTTGTTTAAACTTTGTCACTATTTCCAGAACTTTTTCATCATCCTAAACAGAACTCTGTAACTCATTAAACACTAATTCCCCATCTCCCCTCTCAGTAGTTTAACAGAGGTTAACCACCTGTTAATTTATAATCTGCCTTCTGTTGCTATGAATTTGTCTATACTAAGTACTTAAGTAGAATCATACAATATTTGCCCTATCAAAACTTTGTTCCTAGACAAGAATGTCCACTCTCACCATTTCTATTCAACATAGTGATGAAAGTCATAGCCAAAACAATCAGGCAAGAGAAAGAAATAAAAGGCATCCAAATAGGAAAACGGGAAGTCAAATTACATGAGTAACTTAACCAACGAAACCCTAGATATACCTCTCAAACCCTAAATATACCTCTAGACCTGATAAATGACTTCAGTAAAGTTTCCAGATACAGAATGAATGTACAAAATTCAGTAGCATTTCTACACACTAATAGCATTCAAGATGAGACTCAAATCAAGAACTCAATCCCATTTATAGTAGCCACACACATACACAAAAAAACACATAGGAATACATTTCACCAAGGACGCGAAAGATCCCTACAAGGAGAACTACAAAACATTGATGGAAGAAATCATACATGACACAAACAAATGGAGAAACATTTCATGCTCATGTACTGGAAGAATCAGTATCATTAAAATGACCATACTGCCCAAAGCAATTACAGATTCAACAGAATTCCTACAAATTACCAACATCAGTTTTCAAAGAATTAGAAAAAAGCACTCTAAAATTCACATGGAACCAAAAAAAGAGACTGAATTGCCAAAGGAATCCCAAGCAAAAAGAACAAATCCATAGGCATCACATTACCTGACATCAAACTATACTACAAGGCTATAGTACCCAAAACAGCATGGTGCTGGTACAAAAACAGACACATAGACCAATGGAACCGAATAAAGAACCCAGAAACAAGGCCACACACCTACAATCAACTGATCTTTGACAAAGTTGACAATAATAAACAGTGAGAAAAGGACACTCTATTCAAC